TATATATATATATATATATATATATATATATATATATATATATATATATATATATATATATATATATATATATATATATATATATATATATATATATATATATATATATATATATATATATATATATATATATATATCGCTTTAAGAATGTATATTCCAAGAGTAAATGTAAAAAGCATGATATTTGTACAAGAAGTTTGAAAGTCTTGGCGCCCGGCTCTATACAATGACAAATGTGGCCCAAGGCCTTTTAAGGGTTGGGGATAACTGGTGTAGAAGCTGTAAGTGTAAATGTTGCTTAAGAATATCTAAAGCAAGTGGAGAATTTTAGAGAGGGTGACGGGCGGTGAAGTGATCAGTGAGGCAGTATGAGTGTAGGCAAGTTGTTAGTGTGTAGGAGAGTGAAAAGGTTATGATAATTTAGGAGTGTGTGAAGTAGTATGTGTGTAGGTAGGTTGTGACCATGAAGGAAACAACATGTATAGTTGTGGACAAATTTCCCTGAACAATTGGCAATAACTAGCCTCCACATATGAGTTAAATATTTAATTGGTTTATGCTGATTTTCTTACCTTATTATCTTGAGACCACAAAATAAAAACACACTCTTTGTTACATAGAAAAAACTTAGAAAATACATTACAATTCAAAACTCCTTCATCTAATTATTTATAGTACTGTACTTAAATGCCAGATACCGCCTAGTTTGTAGGGATATTTGTTCGTAACTGTACATACTTAAAGTCGGCTTAAAGCATTAGTAAAATGGAAGTATGGAGGTGCTGGGTGTTGGTGGTAAGCGAAGACTTTCTTGGGATACTTTTATGTGCACAATGAAACATAAAAACATGGCTAAGAGATGGATACTGAGGCACAAACACTTCATAATTTAACAAACCACTTTTCTGTAATATTAACAATGACTCACGTGGATCATTAAATTTTGTCAAAGGAATCTGAGCTGTGTGCATGTTCTTCTTTCCTCGTGACTTAATGAACTTCCAGTAGGAGATGATGGCCCTGTTTCATGAAGAGAAGTGAAAGAATAATATTACCACTAGGGACTATATTCATAATCCAACATATTTAACGGCCGATAACAGTCTTTCATTTTATCAGCTGCTTTGGGATGTTAAATGATATAGAATATACATTAAAAGTTAACACTAACTCTCTGAATTAACTTTAAATCAGTGAACATCTCTGGAATATTAGGTAAATCTCCTCAGCGACTTGTTAAATACACAAAACAGTCTCTCCCTGTATTTCATATTTTTTTGGATTCAGTATCTGAAATGCATTACTTTAGTTCTTAAGTAAACAATCACTTGATAAAAATTATATTATTCATGGTAAAAATCTCATTTTCTCATTAAACTTGCTTTGAAAATAACTCAAAATTACTTCTTCTTCACAGTCTTACCAATAAGTAATATTTATCACATTTATGGTTTTTAGTATTATTATCATTATCATTATTATTATTATTATTATTATTATTATTATTATTATTATTATTATATTTTATTTTGTAAATTTGTTATTATTATCATTAATATATAATAATAATAATAATAATAATAATAATAATAATAATGATGATAATAATGATAATAATGATAATGATAATAATAATAATAATAATAATAATAATAGTAGTAGTAGTAGTAGTAGATTGCTAACACAGAGCCACATGCGGCTTCACATTCACCCATGGAGTCAAGCATCGTTGGAACTACCTGATGCGTACTATCCCTGATATCGGACCCCTCCTCCACCCTCTGGAAGAAGCTATCAGTGTCAAGTTCATTCCCAAATTAGTGAAACACCCTGACTTAACCCAGCAGAAAGACTCACTTGCACTTCCACCAAGACTGGGCGGATGGGACTAACAAATCCAGGGAGATTGCTACTGAACATCAAAATTTCTTTAAGCTCACGCAGCCCTCACGGACCACATAATAGCCCAGAATGCAACAGGGGTGGATTCCAGCGAAGTAAAGATTCGTAGATCCATTACGACAGATCGACAGCACTGCCAAATGATAAGTTGCAGCAACTATTGCTGCAGGTACCAGAAAAAAAAAAAAGTAGCTATAGCGCAGGAGGTGGGCGCTCGAACTGGTTAACTACGTTACCGATAAGGGCAAATGGTTTCAGTCTTAATAAACAAGAATTTACAGATGCCATTGCTCTAAGGTATGGTCGGCCAGTAGAAGGTTTGCCCTCCCAATGCGGTGTGCTCTTCCTTTGATGGCGATCACGCCATGGTGTGCAAGAAGGGGGCTTCATATGCATGAGGCATGACGAGGTAAGGGATCTCACAGCAAATATGTTGAAGGAACGGCTGTCATGGTAGAACCGACCTCCTTCCATTGGATGGTGAGATCTTCCAACACAGGACTTCAAACACATCTAACGATGCCCGTATGTCAGTGCTCGAGGATTCTGGACGCGACAGCGGAGCCTTCGACATCAGGATTTTTGATCCCATGGCCGCATGTCACCAGAATTCCAGCTCCTCGATGCTGCACATAGGAGGAACGAGAACGACAAGAGAAGGGCATATGGGGAGAGAATTCAAAACGTTGATCAAGGCAGCTTCACTCTAATGTTTCACAACCCTGGTGATGGGACCAAGTGCAAGATGTTTCTACGCCAGACTCCACGGAGTTGACTTCCTAACAGAAGCAGCAGCCCAGAAGTTATGTTACAGCCTGGATGAGATGTCGACTGTCTTTCTCTCTCTCCTTCGGTCGGCTTTGCTCTGCCTCAGGGAACGAGAGCTTTGCCCCAACTCCGACAACTGCTGCGGATATTGACTATGAGGCTACTGTCACTGAATGCCACATAGATCTGGTGCTCAACTAATTTAACACAGATAGGATAGCTACTTATGTATTAGGATATTTAATATTAAGGTAATTAAATGGTGGCGAAGGTGTGGCTATTGGGGGAGGCTGGAGGCCACAATAAAAAAAAAATAAAGTAGTAGTAGTAGTAGTAGTAGTAGCGGAAAGGTGAATGAGTGGGTTAGTGAAATCCAAGCTCTGTCTGAGATTGCTAACACAGAGCCTCATGCGGCCTTTCCTGCATTCACCCATGGACTCAAGCATCGCTGGAACTACCTGAAGTGTACTATCCGTGATATCAGACCCCTCCTCCACCCTCTGGAAGAAGCTATCAGTGTCAAGTTCATTCCCAAATTAGTGAAACACCCTGACTTAACCCCAGCAGAAAGAGCACTTTTCCACCCACCAAGCTGAGATGGACTAACAAATCCAGAGGAGATTGCTGCCACTGAACATCAAAATTCACTTAAGCTCACGGCAGCCCTCACGGACCACATAATAGCCCAGAATGCAACAGGAAATATAGGAAGTGGATACTGAAGGAGTAAATAAGATCTGTAGGTCCATTATGACAGATCGACAGCACTGCCAAAATGATAAGTTGCAGCAACTATTGCTGCAGTACCAGAAAAATTTGAAAAAAAAGTAGCTATACGCGAGGAGGTGGGCGCTCGAACTGTTAACTACGTTACCGATAAGGGCAAATGGTTTCAGTCTTAATAAACAAGAATTTACAGATGCTGTTCTTAAGATACGTCGCCAGTAGAAGATTTTGCTATCCCAATGCGTGTGGCACTTCCTATGAGCGGCTTATCACGCCATGGTGTAAACAAGAAGGGGACTTCATATGCATGAGAGGCATGACGAGGTAAGTGATCTCACAGCAAATATGTTGAGATGAAATCTGTCAGATGTCATGAAATCCCATCTCCTTCCATCGATGGTGAGATATCCAACACAGGACTTCAAACACATCTAACGAAGTCTCGCGGTGGACGTCAGTGCTCGAGGATTCTGGACGCCGGACAGCGGTAGCTTTTTTCGACATCGATTTTTGCATCCCATGGTACGCATGTCACTGTAACCTAGCCCTCGATGCTGCACACATAGAGGAACGAGAACGACAAGAGAGGCATATGGGGGAGAGAATTCAAAAACGTTGATCAAGGCAAAACACTCCTCTAGTGTTCACAAACCGGTGGATGGAAACCAAGTGCAAGATGTTTCTACGCCAGACTCGCGGAGTTGATCTCCTAACAGAAGCAGGTAGCCCAGATGTTATGTTACAGCCTGGATGTGAGATGTCGCATCGTCTTTCTCCTCCTATCGGCTTTGCTCGCCTCAGGGAATGAGAGCTTCTGCCCAACTCCGACAACCGAATGTCGACGATCTGCGTTCAACTAATTTAACACAGATAGATAGCTGCCACTATGTATTAGGATATTTATTATTAAGGTAATTAAATGGTGGCGAAGGTGTGGCTATTGGGGAGGCTGGAGGCCACTTTCAAGTAGTAGTAAGTAGTAGTAGTAGTAGTGAGTGGCCTTGTCTGGCGTGGCGTGGGTGTCGTGGAACGTCCTCCTGATCTAAAGTGTTATTGGTGGGATATACTCGCCAGGAGCGAATTTAACAATGTGTCGTGAATATCGGATGTCACCCTACATTGCCACCCAAGGCTTTTCTCATCCCATACGGCATATTTGTAATCACCTATGGGGGCCGAGAAGCCCCATGCGGTCGCCTCCCCACTATAGTAACGGACACTTCATGTATGGTCTCGACGAACCAAGTGAGTATATATAACTGATATTACACCAGTGAGACCATATAAATAGTGGTTATTTGTGCCAAGGATTTATAAACAAGTGCTTGGTGAGACAAATTCTTGTCCATAGTGTATCATTCTGACGTATGGATGGTCGCCCTTGGGGGGTGGGGGGGGGTAGCCTACACACCCACGCGCGCACGTATGCCCCTACTACCTGGACACAGCAGTCTAGCCTGTCACCTCTCCCCCCTTCCCTCATAAGAACCAGTATAATATTGTGCCTGGGACCAAATCAGATGTTCGGAGGCGGACATAATTGTCGCCCAAGGTGCTGTTCACTATGCCTGGTAACATTCTTTGCTGCGTCTGTGCTAGCCCGAACCAAAACTGCACAAATTGTGTTTGTGCGAGAAACAACCGACCATGTGTGGATTGCAGGAAGCTAGACCAGTGTCGGAACCCACGTCGCAGGGAGCCGACACAGGTGGCCACATTGGATATCGCCGGGACCCAACCACCCGATGATATCCGAAATGATAGCAGTGAGTCTACTCAACCCGAAAATGTAGTACTAATAAATGCTTCTCCCTTAGTAGCAGGTGTCCACGAGGAGAATGAGAGACAGCCACCTCAGCGGAATGGCAGGTCGATGGAAAATGCAGACATATGGGTCAAAGAAACCTACTCAGAAATTGTCAAGTGGTCGCACGCTAACTTATTTGAACCACCCAAGTGTGCGGCCACCAAAGAAATGATTCGGGAGATGACTCGCTTCATGACTGATTACACTCAGGACCGCTTCCTCGCCCCTCTAGCTCTTCAAATACTGGCAATAATACCACATCTATTTTGTCAGAGGACACACACAAAGGCTAAGCACAAAGAAAATTTGGCAGCAATGAAGAGAAGATTGGCAATGTGGCAGACAGGGGCCCTTGATGATCTCCTATGTGAAGCAAGAACACTGCATGAGAGACTAAAAATTACGAGTGACGGAAAGCAAAACACCGATGACGTGGCAAGAAAATTTGGAATCATAATGCGTGTGGGAAAAGTGTCTCTTGCGGTAAGATCTCTCACAGAGGAATCTTCCGGTGGGGTGATGCCAATTAACAGAGAGACATTAAAACTATTGAAAGAGAAACATCCCCCGGCAAGCGAAGATGAAGGCATCGGGTTCCAGGGTGACTATATCCCTCTAAATGCTGTCCTGTTCGAGAAAATAACAGGAGAGATGGTGTGAAAAAAGGCACTGAAGACTCGAGGAGGAGCCGGCCCTTCAGGTCTGGATGCAAACGGTTGGAGAGTCATCCTCAGCACAAGCAAGTTCGGCCCTGTAGCAAGCGATCTCTGCACTGCCATTGCCGCCCTTGCAAGAAAGCTTGCATCCTCTTGCTGCC